TTATTAACAAAGTTCGTGTACTCAGACCTATTTGGGGTCACAAGTTTTTGCCATGGATGTTTTGTGGGTCAGAAGATAAAAAGTTTGGGAACCACTGCTCTACAGAAGCTTGGAATGCATTTTTAGTACAGGAAACGTTATTGTAACGTCATGATCTGTCTCGCTGTTAAAATGTGGTGCTTAATTTTAKTTATTTATTTTTAATGTTTTGGGTTTGTAATATCCAAAAGGAAGGGTATCTCTGCAGTCACTAAATGTGAGTTTCTCGTTTTGTTGGAAGAGTTGTCCAAGACATGATTGGTCTGTTTGAGTTTTATGGGTGTAGTTTGTTAAACATGTGATTGGTTAGACTGACTATTTTAGGTGGGGTTTGAAGAAGCTGGTGCCTGGGAGAAGCTTTGGCCAAATGGCCTTGAAGTACCTATATTTTTTAAATATAAATATAAATTTTAGTCATAACTCGAGACAGGAAGGTGCTAGCTGCACAACATTTGAATGCTGTACATGTGGAGGGATGTGTAACAATTTGGCCCTAACCAGCCTGTAGGTTGCTATATATGAATTAATATTAATCATAACTTGAGACAGGAAGATGCTTGCAGGATGAAATTTGAAGTCAGTTAATCATGTTTACATGTTCACAATAATTTTACCATTACTTTATCTTTTTAAATTGCCCCACAAGACAAGTCAATCCGACCAATCATGGTTTTGTCAAACTTTGCCCATACCCAAATTCCACCTATTATCTAAACTCCGCCAATCACAATTAGGACAAACTCCCCAACACAACAAGAAACTCCCCCTATGTACTGCAGAGACCCCTACTTGCCATGTCCTGGAGGACTGAGAATCTGCATCAGGTCTTTAGTGAACCAGACTCCTCGAGGTCTAACGGATCCATCCTTTCTTGTTTCAGATCTATATTGTGTACAACAAGAAGACGGGGAAGCCTCGTGGCTATGCTTTCATTGAGTATGAGCATGAACGAGACATGCACTGTGAGTACCACCTGATCACTCATTCTGTAATGAACACACGGTGAGAATGGCCAGACTGACATGAAGGGCTTTATTATTTTACTTCGACAACCTTTTCTGGGGGGGGGTTCACCATCACCTTGACGAGTGACCATTACCTAAAAGGACAAAAAATTGTTCACGACATCCAAGTTCTTAGAGCGCTGTTTACAGGCGTCCAGTTTGCATGAAGTAGTCTGGTGCTTGTTTGGTTTGTGTGTGTGCGCTTGTTTGGTGTGTGTCGTTGGTTGGTTAATAGTTGGGCCTGTAGCAGGGCGGGTGGGGGCCGATTCAGTCATACAGGGTCAAAATGGAATAACAGAGGTACAGCTGTGTGTTTATTTGTCAACCTGAACATGTTTGCTTGTCAAAGGGCAAATTGTCTTTTAACTGTGAGATGTTGTAGTTCTGTGGAAGAGCCGCTCTCCTGGTTGGACTGTAATGGTAAGCTCAAGGTCAGACTGGAGACCAAACATTGACAGGGCTTCTGCCTGACATCCATCAAATTCCATTTCCTCATATGACTAGGTTTTTTGAGGCTGTCTGTCAGTTTTTATTGCTGGTTTTCAATTCTGGTCATGATGGGCTCACTAAAACTCAATGTTATTGAGATAGTGCTTAGCTTATAATCTAAATGCTATCTCTTCAGATAATTAAAACATCTAAAGCTAAATTTATGCTTCCATGTGGAATTGGTGCAGAGCTCAAAGTGTAGTTGAGAGTATGGTATTTTTTATTTACAAAAAAAATACGGTAGCATTATCTTCAGACTGATGAGCCATGCAGTGTCTTTCACTGAGCTGAAACTGTTGGCGACTTTAAATTTGAAAGCTGTCATCTCACCGAATTCTGAGTGTTTGCAACAAGTGAGACATGTGGCCATGCTTTCAGGCAATGTTTGCAACTACTTTTGTACCTGGGTTTATGCGCACAAATGGGTTTTTGTGGACCTGACTTTGATAACTCTATCACAGGCTGTTAACAACCAATTATTTTACAGTCAAATGTACAAAAGATTTTCTGTGTTCCAGTTGTTTTCAGTACAAGAGTCTGTGAACATTCAGTGTAGGTCTCTTTGCTATATAGGGCTCTATGATTTCCACAATGCAGAAAACACAAACTGAATTGCGGAATCAACTAAACAACATAGAATCCAGTATAAAATATGGAATTTGCTTATTTGGGCACAGGGTTCCCACGGGTCCTTGAAATCCTTGAAAGTTTGTGAATTTGAAAAAATAATTTCAAGGCCCTTGAAAGTTCCTGAAAACAGCTAAAATAGCCACCTGTCCTTGAAAGTCCTTGAATTTTTGGAGGGGGGGATTTGAAATTGATGATGACCGCTGTCAATATGTGATAATTATTTTTATTTATTTATTTTGTTTTGTTCTGCGCTTCCGTTTCCCGTATGTAGTGTGTATAAACGTGTGCATAACAGTATGCGGCCTTCTCGTGAGAGATTGCGTGAATTGCCAGTCACATTTCAGAGTCGAGTTGCGCACGATGACATGCCTGGAAAATGTAAAATTCAGGACACCTGGCTTGCCAAAAAAAGCTATTCAGAGCAGGGCTTAAAGTTCTCCGTCACTACGACGGAGTTCTATCACTTTAAATGTGGCCAGGACGGATTTCTGGTTCTGTTGCGATGTTTTTTGCTGAAGAGCTTTAAGGCTTTGACAAGGCCTTGTCTTGTCCTCACTAGACACATCCGTGTATTGTGTAGGCTAAGAATATCACGAAAGTAGACTATATATTCAATCCACTTTTTTCATTGATTCTGACTCAACAACTTCTACGCTGTTCAGATTTTTATTGAATTTACATTGTATTTTAACTGTTTATTGGTAACATTCTACGGTAGAAGTAGGTAATTGCCGTCGCGCGTGGTTCTTGAATTTGAGGAAATTGGGAGGGATGTCCCGATACCACTTTTTCACTTCCGATACGATACCGATATTACAACTTTGAGAAATGTCCGATACCGATATTGACCCTTTACCATCACAGTACAAGTCACACACTTTTACCTATTTTGTAATGTAAAATCTTAGAAAAGTCTTGATCAAGTCAAACAGTGAAAAATAGTAGGTATGAGAAAA